AATTTTTAGGCGTATCAGGCAACATTGACAACGTTGCCTCCGCCGGCGGTGCCACCTGCACCGGCGGGGCGACCCATTTCGCGATGAGGTTGCCTTCACTGGTGGTGCAACCTGCTTCGGCAGGGCGACCCATTTTGGATGAGTTTCCGACGCCAAGGAGGTTGCCTTCTCCGCCAATGGTTTGTCAGTTTTGAGCCTGCTGTTGCCATGTCTCTGATCTTTGTGTCCTCAAATCGTCACCGCTGCCACCATTTGTAGCGTAGACCTTCGTAGGTTTTTGGTTAGAGCAGGCAAAATGCCAACAATCAAACACGAGTGGTTCTCCAGTTGTTAGAACACAACACACTGATTTTATTCAGCCGTCCGTCTTCAACGACTTTTCCAGACTACTCCTGTACAGTGTATTCGTTATACAGCACAATTACAACCCCTCGATTTGGCAGTGGCCCAGCTGATTTTTCCAGGGCGCGCCAATTCTTATTGTTTTGCACCCGGCCGCAACCGCAAAATAGGTGTCCAATTACAGGCGTGTTTCCGGAGCCACAGCGCGACCCCAAAAACACAATACAGTTCACAGAGTTCATGATTCACAGTCAATAGGGGGCTCCAGCAGTGCATGCTCTGACGGAGTCCTCAGGTACGGAGGCGATTGTTACAATAGCATAATACATGTAAGCTCTTTAGACTAGAGTACATGTAATAACATCAAATAATATAATGCTGAAATAACTATAAACGTGTACTACATGTAGCTTGTTTGAGTACATCAGTGCTGCACATGTCATACATGTACTCTGCAAGTAAGCCTCTGTATGTACAGTATGTTAAGTATGCTTAAGTGAAAGTGCAAAAGAATGCATTTTTAATGAGTATGGTCATTCATGCAAGTACTTTTTAAGTAATCACTTATTGAGATTACCATTGTGAAAAAGACACTGCTCCTTGGGATTTTAATGAATAGAATACTCACCAAATTTGTAGTTTTGTAGATGCATGTGCAATGTACGTATATCGAGGGAGGTTACCAAGTGCATATGTAAATAAGTCATAAATTGCTGCCTTCTAGTGGTACATGTAAAACAAAGAAACATAATTGTGATTGCTGCCCTCTTTGACCAAACACGGCCTCAAGACATACATGATTCTGCAATGTAATTCTGTTACCCCATGTAATTCCGTTACCACGTAATTCCGTTACCAATGTTTCCATAGGAGTATATATTTAGATATGAGAATTTAGTGTTTGAGGTTATTAGTAGGCAGATTAAGGACGAGAATTTACAATGGTGGAATAATTCTGAAAGAAATGAGGCCAGGAGAAAAACTTCTGTAAATTTTTGTAACGGAATTACAGCTAATTCAACCCAAATTTTGTAGTTTTCTCTCTCAAGTACCATATCCAGAGGAAGGAAGTGCCTCTGACACAAGCATCTACATGGCTCCAAAACTTTGCACTATTCAGAGGGATTAGTTAAGCATTTAGGATTTAGGACATTTTATAGTATTTAGCTTCAGGGGGTCCTTATTATAAGCCAAAAAGAATATCAAATTTCAAATTCGATTTTCCGGAAAACCAAACATTATTTTCAAAAACGGTTTTTTGCTCCATGCCAAGTGTACATTTATTAGCAAAGCACAGTCAATTTAATTTCTATTTGATCAGCTTTAAAATTAGCCATTTTTCTCATTTTCTAAACAGAATTGCCCAACTGGGTGCACAAGCACCAACAAAGACTAGCGTTTTGGCCACCGGCACCGGATTAAACGCTCAACGGCAATTTATTACGATCGTGGAATCTTTAATTAATTCAGCCCCCAATCTCGAATAGTCGATTGACCAATTCCAGGATTCGTTGCAATACGCAAAAACGCCTTTAAACTTTGTCGTTGCACCAGGGTTATATTTGGTGCCCTCGGACATGGACTTGCGCATCGGTACATTTGAAGGTTACAACAATAATTTACAAATTGCGACTGAGGATATGAGGACTGGTTACGTACCGAGTTTAAATTTAAGGCCAGAGGTTGAAGATGATTTTAATGATGAAGCGAGCAAAAAAGAACCGACAATTTTACCGAATCCAAATTTAAAGCCAATTTTACCGAATCCAAATTTGAAGCCAATTTTAAGTCCCGTTTCAGAACGTAAGCCGTTAGATGCTCATAACGAAGAAAAACTGTCTCTAACCGTTGCAGCCATTGCCGTGGGTGTAATCGGTTTTATGTTTAAAGTTTTGACTAATAAACGGTTTGATTTAAGGCGTAAAAAACCCCTCAATTAATATTACCCGATTTTTTTTTTTGCCTCTTTATATCCGTTTACATCTTCTGCACGTACGTCAAAATCAAAACACCTACAAACAAAGTCCACACATGCTCTGCCACCCATCCAACCGCCTTACTCGCCACGTTAAATATCCAGCTCAAAGCGCTGCCGATGATTCTGGGCAAAGCGCCTAAAACTTTCAACCCGAGTTTCTTCAACACGTTTGCCAAATTCCATAATTGACGTTTGATCCAAGCAGTTACGCCTCCTTTACTTGGTGGTTCAGGAGGTTTTGGCCTGGGTTCTGGCGTGATGCTAGGAGTTCTGGCAGCTCTAACGCTAGCTACAATACCACTAACAATGGTACTTACGGCTAGTGAAAAAGCCGTTAAAATACTTACAATCGTAACGTCCTGCTCTCTAAATATCATTCGAATCTTATCACCTAGCGTGTTGTCCAACTGTAAAGAGTAGTTAATTAAATCTTTAATTTTCGATATTTGTCTTTTGAGTTTAATATATCTCTCTGAGCTTGTAGCCCCTCGAGTTGGTCTTGCAATTCAGGTAAACAAGCTGAATTTTCAGAAGTATCGACACGACTTATCTCTTTTTGAATTTCAATAATTTTAGCTTGATTTAACCGTCTTTGCCCTCTCAATGTTTGCAATTGTTTATCTAATCCTAAAAGCTCTTGGTAATCTATACTCTCGGTTTGTGCTATTTTTTCCCCCATAAACTCAGTGACAATGCTGCTAACTTGATCCGATGCTTCCTTGAGTTCTTCGTGAGTAAATTTTGATCCGCTTTTAAATCCATGTTTTCTGGCGGGTTTTGCTATCGTGTCTGGCAATACAAACTTTCTCAGGTTACGTTCGTCTGTAAGTAATATCTTACCGGCTCCTCTTACATTTTTGTAATATGGGCCTTCTTGTGAGTTTATTACATTTGTCTGGATTTTTGTGATATATTCAAAATTTTCGTAGGCTGGCATAGGGATATCTGATCTACCTTTATCTTTGTAAAAATCAGTTACTCTGGGATTATCCATAAACATAATTTGACCTTTTTCTGAAATTTCGTTTGTCGTTGCGCCTTCTATAAAGGACGTTTCTTGTTGATCGTAAAATAAGTTATCGTTGACGAAATCTTGGTCGTCCGTTTGTATTTCTTGATCTTGATCCTCAAGCAGAGGTACATGTATTTCCTCTGGATCAAATCCTCATTCGGCCATTTTACTTTTACTATAAAATAAACAAATTTTAAGCGGTCGGTAAACTCGTGGGCAATATAACCTGTGACATGAGCCAACTCTGGGTAGCTCATGCACCGCTAGACAGGGCGGTCAGTTTTAACGCATCTTCAACTGTAAATTTATTGAAATCAGGCGGTTTAATTTTAAAAAGTTTACTCGATAGCATTGCATAACCTATGGAGATTCCTGAAACTACGGCACCATGGTAGACCGTATTGGCGATTTTGTTTACTTCGATTGATTTAGCGTTACTCATTTTTAATATACATGTATAGTATCTTTAAATTTACTCCATGTCTAAAATTTCAGGTCGCTCGCTTTTTGGTTGAACAATTGGTTGGATCGTTTGAACTTTCATAGGCGTCGATTTATTTTTCCAAATTAAAAATGCTGCGAGCGCTCCGATCGCTAAACTGCCTAGGATTAAATTTCTATTCTCTATAGCCGTTTCGTAAATTTTATTTTTCGAGCTAGGGGCATTCCGTTCACTCGCGGCCATTTTAGCGAGTTGCTGCTTCATCTTCTTGTTATGCTCGGCCAATTTCTAACCTTGTTCTACTCGTTTTGGATTTTTGACTTTAGTTACTGTCTGAATTTGGGATCTGACTGGGCTGCTCGTCGGCATTGGCGCTGGGCTTACTTTGCTCGCTTCTTCCGTTGTTGACATCTTTTAATATAAGACAACTTTTGTTGAACTCCAAATGCTTAGTTGTATTAGTGTGGCTGCCAGTGGTGATAGATAAATCCCATGTTTGTAGCAGATCTCGCTTAATAGATGACCCATGGTTTGACTAATGATCGGGTCGTTGTTTAGATCTTTAGTCGGCGCTTCTTCAGACGTTAAATTGACGTTAAAACCTAAAATATTAACGGGGCGGCAATTCCCAAAAGACGTGCGTATAAGCTTAGAATCGCATTACCGATCGTACTTAGGCGTGAGGTCGAAATACAAACGCTTTTGAAAGCGTTCAACACTTTGTAAAAGCCCCACCGACGGTCCACATGGCACAGACGAACGGTTCAGTCAGGCTGACTAAACTGTTCGCAGTCGAGTGCTCCCTGTGACAAACTGCTCCCAGTAAACAATGGACAGCTTATCGGATTATGGCTTCTGCAGTCTGGTGGATGAGTCATTCCAATTGCTCCACAGCCACCAGGATTTGCAGACTGTTTTAATTTCCTGACAATATTGAATAGTTGCATCGTTAATGAAATGCGAAATATCCATGCTGTCGGTTTCCAGACCCCTTTTTTTCAGGCCTTTATACCCTGTTATCATAGTATTATTTTTGTCTCAGTATCACAAGTCAAACGCACACCTAATTGTGTACCTGCAGAATCAATCATACTCACTCTAAATCTACACAAATCGTACTTGAGAGTGTGTTCTGTTCATTGACGTGCAGTTATTGATACAACTTTTTTT